GCTAAGAGCGATGGCCTCCAAGCTAAGAGCGATGGCCTCCAAGCTAATAGCGATGGCCTCCAAGCTAAGAGCGATGGCCTCCAAGCTAAGAGCGATGGCCTCCAACCTAAGAGCGATGGCCTCCAAGCTAAGAGCGATGGCCTCCAAGCTAAGAGCGATGGCCTCCAAGCTAAGAGCGATGGCCTCCAAGCTAATAGCGATGGCCTCCAAGCTAATAGCGATGGCCTCCAAGCTACTATAGCGATGGCCTCCAACCTAAGAGCGATGGCCTCCAACCTATGGCATTTGCTTATATTTGCTTATTTTGAGACACCTTTCACACTTAACTTCCTCTCAGGTTTGGCAGGATGCCCTGGACCTGACTCAAGCCAGCGGTGCCAGTGATGTGCAGTGTTTTTTCCACTACACCACTGAGCTTGGCTTTAAGAACATCACGGATCTCAGAAAGACAGTGGTAGAAGTCTTTGCGATGCCCTCAGTATCCTATGAGATGTATGTGAAAGTCATTGTCTCTCCTTCAATGCATCCCGTTTAGTCAGCTCCTGTCGTTTCCGTATCGACAGGCTTCTCTGATAACGAGGGGTGAGAAGGCCAACGCCTGGTGGGGACAAGGCAAGACTGGTTGCTTGCACCAAATCGTTTAGAACTGGACTGCCAAAGAATTGGGCATGCACATCATATGCGCCAGAGAGTAGACACAGAGTGTCTCACAGTTCGTGCTAAGATTGAAAGCTTTGGGACAGTGCACTCATTCATACCAACACATCTTTGTGCCAGAGAGTTGCATTGGCCAGGAGTTTATTCTGTGCAGAGGCCGCCAGATGAATGGCCAAATATCGAAGCACTCATTGACAACAACTACCGCAATATGCTCAAGAGGGACACCGAAAGGAAAGGTCGTGAGGCAGCTGTGGAGGAGAGAGCTCCTGTGTGTTCCTTGGTGATGCCCTTTTGCCAGTCTAATTTGTCCAGAAGTATCAGAGAACACTGCAAGTAAGACTTCTTGTGGATGCATGTGCCATTTACATTTCTTGACGGAGGAGTACAGGTCAAGGGTTGCCTTCTGTATACCTATCTTGGTCGATGAATCCATCGCCTATGATGTGTCCAAGAGACAAACGCCTGAAATGGTCGAGCAGGAGAAGCCGGATTCATTTTTTGCAACTAGTTGTGGAAGTGGTTAGGTTGTTTTAGGCTTGTTTTTGCAAGGGTACAAGATCATTTGTGTGTGCTTCCTCTTTGTTCTTTCACAGGGGAAGCCCGTTGGTGTGCCGGACACCTAGTTCGCATCTCCTATGTCCTATGTATTTATGTGGGACTGTGCGACTGACTCGATACTATTGGACCATGTTAGGCTCAGTTCCGCCCAAGGAATTTGGCTGGAAAGCAGCTCAACGAAGATGGTATGCCACCTCGACAATGTATCGTCATCCGACCAGAAAGGGCGGAAGAGGTTGGCAACGCCAATGCAGTGCTGGTGGAATCGACACTTGTTTGCGATCAGAAACTAGAAATTCAGATTGCCAAGGGGTAATGCAGGCCACAGTGTGTTCGGCACTTCAAAGTGTATCTCAACATTGTACACGGCTCGAAATGTTTCCTTGACAGCCATTGGCTGCATATTTCTATGCTATGTGGCTATGTCACTATGTTCCATCGTGATGCAGCTCAGCAGGGAATGCTTACCCATCAACCGGTACTTCAACAGGTAAGGCGGGACATCATCTGACAAATTGTACTTTGCAAGTTGCCGGGAAAAGACAGTATTTGAAGCAACACGCAAGCACACTGTTGTGGAATGAGGAACAGGCTCTCTTGCGGATTCTCCTGATGGTGACGTTGTTTTTTCATTGCGCGTCAGTAGCTGTCTGTTGAACTTGCCACTCTTCGGTTGAGTTTTAGGTTGCCAGATTGTATGAAGTTGCAGGATTGTCCGACTCAGGCAAAAGCATCCAAAACAACTCTTGGGCACACAACTTTATTCTAACTGCACCAGACTGTTCGAGTCCGGATGCTTGAGTATGTTGCTCACACTACTTACAGCATTTTACAGCGAGGTTCGCCTTTAAAAGGACTTCCAATGGTCCAACCACCCCTACCAAGCTCTTCGCATTCTTAGACCGAGTGATGCAGCATCCCAATGTTCAGTGTCGATGTGAACGTTGTGAGGACGAAAGATGTCCTTTGAGTGATATTTTTCGTCACCAAGGCTCCGCTGCCGCGCTGAAGCCATCAGAGAGAGCCTAGGCTCGGAGCATTCCGACAGTCTCAAGGCATCAAGCCGGCTGGGCCCTTGGTCTTTTCACCAACAAGACAGTTTTTTTCCCCCTAAGCATGATGAGATCTAAGTGTTTGGGGCCATGTTACCATGTTACTTAGGGGGTCACCGAGCCTACAACATCAGGTCGTCTGCTTCATAAGGTCGGCTCCTTCGGCAGTGAGGATGTTGACTTGTCATTTCTGAATCTGTGATCCAGTGGTTGTGAATCACGCCCGGTGTTGCTCTCAATACGTCTTTTTCTTTTGGATTGCCCCTTGCATCCCGGCACTTCATTGTTGCAGTGACCATATAGCTCTCCTGGACCTTCGGCAACCCGGTCTCGGACGTTGAGAGGAGGTCAGCCGTGAAACAGGCGGCTGGCCGAGCAACCGGAAGCCAACATTTCCGGCTCTCCCTAGTTAAGTTTGACCTCCATTCCATTTTCCTCACTTCTGATCCTTCCGCGGGGCGGTTGTCTTGCAGGATCCCGAATTGCTTGGACTTTTATGTGTCTGCACCGCAACCTTTCCTGGAGTCTGTGGGAACATGGGTTTCAATGTCATCTAGGATCCGCGCTGAGTATGTAAACCTTTTTGGGTGCGCAGTGCATCTCTGTGCTACAGGCCAAAAGCACATAGATTGCTCTGACTGCGCAGAGATGAAGGAAAACTGAAAGAAACCTCATCTGCCTCTGGCTGGGTGTCTCTGACTGCCATCCGGCTGTTTTTGGGTGCGGTGGGTTGCTGGGGTCGCCTGTTTTTGCGATGGAGACCTGGTGGTCTGCGGCTGTCTTTGGGTGTTGGCCTTGCCGTTTTATGTCGAACACCCTTGCTTCTCGTCTCTTTTTCCTCACATCGTAGGAGGAGTGCAGCGTTTTGTTCCAGTCATGGCCACAACATCATCTGGGTTGGGGGTTTGTTGGTCAAAGATCCCTACAGAAAATGTCCCATTAAAGTGGCCTGCTGGCAATCTCCAAAGCAAAGTTAAAAACAAGACATAATCCTTTCTTTTTTTTGCAAGCCCACAATTTGGGATTTTGGAGGTTTTGGTGTGGGGTGGTGCTCATTCACCACTGGGAATCTCTGTGTTGCATAGATGTTGCGAAAAGAGGTGGCTCGGCCAGACAGACAGGTTGAGAGAGAGATGGGGACAGATACGAGAGAGAGAGAGAGAGAGAAAGAGACAGAGAGAGAGAGAGAGAGAGCGAGAGAGAGAGAGAGAGATCAGCGAATGGATTGAAAAGGGTCGGAGTCGGAGTCTTCATTCTTATGTGGGAGAGTTGTAAATGCAGGGGCCAAGGTTCAGACCAGTTTGAAATCTAGAGGCCCTGGTTTCAACAGGCGGTCTAGGTGACATTCTTCTTGCTGTTACGTTGGCAAGCTCCCACCTTAAAGGGACCAAAATGGCTCGGTCGGTGGATGCCGCAAGCTCAAACTGTCGGCTTGAAGTGGTGCAGCTTTGCTAATCCGTTTTTTGCACGCGCACGATCAAGTAGCCATTCGTGATGGACAGTAGTTTTAACATATTTTTGCTCAAACAAGCCGAGTGCTGGATTTCCAAAGATTTTCCGACTTTGGGAGCAATGCAACAAGAAACAAACCAACCCAAAGATGCAAATGCCTTCTGTCAAACCCCAACTTCACCTGTGAAGATTATTTCCACCATTTGCCTTTGGCCGAGGCTGGCGAGGGTGCTGACTGCGCGTGGTGACTTCGAGGAGGCGGAGCCACTGCACCGGCGAGTGCTCGAGGCCTACGAAGCGCGGAATGGTGCCGAGGATCCGGAGACCCTCACGGCGGTGTACAATCTGGCATTCACGTTAGGCTTTGCAGGGAAGCTGGCGGAGGCAGAGGCCTTGTCCAGACGAGCGTTGAGGGGACGTGAGCGTCAACTGGGATTAATGCATGTGGACACCCTGGAGAGTGTGAACAATCTTGGTTGGGTCTTGAAGGCGCAGGAGAAGCTAGGAGAGGCAGACACACTGTACCGGAGAGCGCTAGAAGGACGCAAGATGCAGCTTGGAGCCAGGCATCCTGATACCCTGCAATCACTCAACAATCTTGCAGGCTTGGCAAAGAATCAGGGTAAGTTGGAAGAGGCTGAATTGCTTTACAGGAGAGTTTTAGAAGGACGTGAGGTGCAGCTTGGCCGGATGCATCCTACCACCCTAGCTTCTGTGAACAACCTTGCGGTATTGCTACAGGACGAGGGGGAGCTGGAAACGGCTGAGCTGCATCACAGGAGGGCCTTGGAAGGATTTGAACTGCAGCTCGGATCTCGCCATCCGCACACCCTGCGCTCCGTTTGGAATCTCGCGAAGCTTTTGGAGGCGAAAGGCTCCCTGGCCGAGGCGCAAAGCGGGGGCTTTCCGGTCGATGGGAGGGAGGTTGGCCGAGGAAGTAGACCCCAAAGTGAATGGAACCCTGTCGAAATCTCTTGGGTTAAAAGCAATGCATGCTTTCTAGGTGGTTGAACCCGAAGTTGCTATTTGATCTGGATTTCTTTCCGATTGTGTTATTGCCTTTGATAGGAACTCTTTGGCTCCGACATTTACGTCTCAGAGCCATATCGTGATGCATTCGCAGAGAATGTCAGAACAGGTGTTTAATTGGTTGTAGTTATGGTCTTGTTCTTCGTTCCTTTGTCTGCTGAAGTTCCTTGTAAGCTATCAAAGCAACCTGTACCTTGCAGCAGCCCCTGTTTTCAGACATGTCACACGTGGGATGAACATGCAACGACCTTCATGTTTGCTGCCGCTGGAAAAGAATCCTGGGCCCAAAGGAGGCTGCAACAAATGGTTGTCTCTTTAGCTGCCCTCGTAATAAGAGTAGCTCTAAATACGGGAATGGTTTACTCCAGTAGTTGCAGAAAAAAGGCAAGGCGGATTGCAACTTTGACATGCGGATTTGCGGTCAAACGATGTCAATGTATTGTTTGTACGACCGTTTGACCGCACACTTCTTTGTCAAGCGATCCGGTTGATGGTCTTTCCGCGGGGATAGGAATCTTGGGTCGATCTCCAGGCGGAAAAGCTCTATCTCAGAGAGCTGAATGCCATGAAGGCCGACTCGGCCATCGGAAGAACATTAAATGGCTTCAAGAGTAGGTTCAGTAGCGGATGAAGCACCAATGCATTGTTCATCATCCGAGGCTTTTGGATCGAAAATCACCTTGATTCATTGTTTGAAAGGGAAGCAGTCCACAGTGAATCTGTGCAGGAGCTCCGCCCTGACCACGAGGAAACCGAGGCGAGCCGTCAAAACCTGCAGCGCTTCCAGCAGCACTTGGCCCAGCTGAGGTGCGAAGTAGTTTTTTTAAAGGTGCGGAGGGGTAGGAGGTTGAACATAGATAGCGGGAGATCTACAGTTGCAAAGTGCCGAAAGGATCGTTTGCGTTCCACCTCCCTGGGCGGTTCTAGCCAAATTTGAGCTTTTGCAAGATAGTTTCTTGTGGCTTGTTGGGCTTCAGGCATTTTGTGTCAGCCATGGATCCGTGTTTTTGTCATTGCTTTCTCATCTAGCACGCATATGATTCATTGACGACACACTGTGCTGAATACCTGCCCGGTAGCTGTCCTCTTATCAAAAAGTAGGATAGGTGGAGGCTTTTGCTGGATGGGCAATTTCTGAAATTGGTCCCAGAATTCTCATGGTTCTTCCATTCTTGTACAACGGGTGGATTTTGCATCCGACAGGGCTCTTGGAAGAGCTCCCGCAGCGCATGTGACTCTGCTGATTCAGCTGAAGCTCACAGAACTGCAAAAGAGATCGATTCGAGACGAAGCACATATTTGATCATCCTGAAACATCAATGAGTCGTGAACCAGCAACGAATCATTTCTTTAGACGGCTTTGTTTGATTTGATGCTTATGCCTGAGGCTGAGAAGGCGTACGGTGACTGAAGAGTTCTGAGTCCAGGCATCAGTGGGTATCTGATAGGGCGGATAGGCATGAGTGAGACCGAGACAATCATATGCTTGGTAGCACCGTATTCTTACTTTGGTGTTCACCCGCTGCCTCTGTGAAGTCGGACGTCTTGGCCCTGGACTTATCTGACTTCGCAATTGGACGGTGTCAACGAAAACGCGAAGCTCATTCGACCTGGTTCACATTGTTGGACGCTGTCAAAACATCTCCTGTGGAACACCCTTCTCCGAAGGTAGCTGAACATCCTCCTGTAAATGTGCCTGGAAACCATGAGGCAAACGTGTTGGGCGACCCATCACCCCTCACTCGCAACGGCTTGAGACATGAGGCCGAAGATGTAGGTCAATGCTTTGGGGATTTCTGAACTAGAGATTTCCTCTCGCAGAGACATTTCTTCACCAGAGATCTCTTCATCTCCAAGGTGTGGGACCCTTTAGCTTTCCATGAATGCTCTATTCTTCCAGACTTCAACTTATGCTGCCAAGAAGCTGCCACAGGTCGAGGTTGGCTGATGTGCTGGAAGACCGTGGCCTTTTTTCGCAGATGCGGAGCCGCGCGGGCGGGGCTTCTGGACGACCCGAGACCCTCACAGAGGCGAACAATCTCGACTTTGTCTCGGAGAAGTTGGGTAAGGTGGGGAGACGCTGAAGCGCTTTACAGAAGAGCTTTAGCAGGATTTGAGATTCAACTTAAAGCGATGCATCCCGACACCCTGCGGCCGTGCGCTCTCTCTTTCATCTCACGAAGCGTTTGGAGGCGAAGGAACGGCTCCATGGCCGAGGTACGGAAGGGGCGGCGAGCGTTGTTGGTGGAAACCCTTTGATTGATTTGAGAGGTTGGTTTGGGAAAGGCCGAAGAAGTCGATTTGGATGGGTTGCCTGCCTTCTGAAATGAGATCAGGATGTCGATGTCTTTTGGGGGTTGGAGACCAAAGACCCTTCTTTTCAGACATGTGGGGTAAACATGCAACTGCTTGCACGTTCGCTGCTCTAGCAGCAGGTTGCCAAACATCTAAAAGCACTTGACCAAAGTAGCATCGCCCGCACCATTGCTGCTTTTTGAACAAGCTGAAGGGTGAACCACAAAACTTCCAGTTTACGCTTCAATTTATGTCACTTGGCGTACAGAAAATTGTTGAAAAGCAAAGGGCTTTAATGCAGCATCACTAGCACCATTACAGTTTTGTGATGAACAAGCTGAAACATCAACCACCCAACCCCCGTGTAAGTTAGTGTTCGGAAATGCTAGAAACGCAAAGGGCACATCCAGCATCACTAGCACAATTGCTCTCTAGAGTAAGTGTCTCAAAGTTGTTTCTTCCAGGTGTGGTAGGGACACTAAAGAAGTAACCACCTTTCAGTATCATGCAGTGCAACCTGGTGCCTGAGATGGGTGTTCCATTTCATTGACTTGCGCTTTCTTTTTTTTTTCCCAACGTTGTTATTTCCTTCCAGCTGAGGAAGTCATGTCTTTCTGTTGGTAAAGTCCCCTAGGTTCGGGGAGGCTCCAATGTTTGAGGGGGCTCCACCTACCTGGGCCATGGATGTAACCTTTCCCTCTCCCTTTGCTTGCTTGCTTGCTTGCTTGCTTG